TGACAGGAGTGCCGATCAAAAGCAACGTTCACAGTAGTGCAGGTCAAAAGTAACGTTCACAGTAGTGCAGATCAAAAGTAACGTTCACAGGAGGGCCGATCAAAAGTAACGTTCACAGTAGTGCAGGTCAAAAGCAACGTTCACAGGAGTGCACGTCAAAAATAACGTTCACAGAAGTGCACGTCAAAAGTAACGTTCACAGGAGTGCGGGTCAAAAGTAACGTTCACGAGAGTGCGGGTCAAAAGTAACGTTCACAAAAGTGCGGGTCAAGAGTAACGTTCACAGGAGTGCCGATCAAAAGTAACGTTCACAGGAGTGCCGATCAAAAGTAACGTTCACAGGAGTGCCGATCAAAAGTAACGTTCACAGGAGTGCAGTTAAAATTTTTATAATCCCCGTATAAAATGAAAGCCCGTGTTTTCTCATGTTGGTGTGGTTGATAAATGTGATGTTACATTTAACGTTCTTCGTGTTGATCCAAATGTTATTTATATACGTTATACATATAACATTTATATATGTTACATCTACAGTGTACCAAACTCATATCAGAAACTAAGTGTGAAATACGTTCTGGGAAGCCTTTGAATTCTCTCTCTTCCAGATCACACTTTGGAAATCTGGAAGTTTTAGTTAAAATCAAGAGAAGGTTCTACGCTACCTTGTGGTACCTTAACGATTACTTCATGGTAAGGTTATTTACCATCGTATGAAGAAGGTAATCTCCAAGTGATGAGTCGACTTTATAATTTCAACATATATATATATATATCAAACTTCACGCTATTATAGTGGGGGTCATCAGAATTCTAATAAGGTGAGTCTAATGTCCTGGAGGGGATAAATCACTGGTAACAGGATGAACATGCCAATCAAAGTGTTAGTGAAAGACTGTGATTTTTATGGTAAATCCGAAGTTTCATAGTCATGCATGTTGTTGTTGTTGTTGTTTTTCTTACATCTTGACAAAAAGTTCCCACCCACGAAAATACATTTTTGACAGACCATAAGTGGCTCTAATATTATAGTATTACGAAATGCTTAAAAGCCACTAAAAGTACAATGGCGCCAATTGGGGGGGGGGGGCATAGGCTCCAACCAAACCTAATTGATTTTTAGAATTGTAGAACGTCTAGTTAATGGGCTATGTTTATGGCTTATGGGGTACTGTTGTTATTAGTATACAAAAAGTATAAATTCGAAAGGTCATTGTTTTTCCCCCTCATAACCCCCTCTGGATCTTCCGTAGTTATTACAGTTGAATGTACGAACTCCGAAACGTTCTGCGTCATCAACAGTTCATGTTTTTCGTAGATATTAGGGTTCAGCTAGGTTAAACTTACAACCAGCATACACAAGTAAATCGTCTGCTAGGGTTAATATTCGGTTCAATTGTTCTACACGTGCATAGTGATCGTCAGATTACATCTATTTCGCTGCATACTCTGAAGCCTCTAAATAGCGTTAATAATATCATTCTGGAGCCTCATTGGCTGTGAGTTCAACAACCTCTCACTTCATTGGATGAGATTGAAATGTGGGCGTTTCTATTATTTTGAGAAATAATGTTTGTACGGTGTTATTACAGCAAGTAACAGGTAAAGATGCGTCTCTTAACACGTGACTGATTGTGCAACATTTGAAGTGTGTGTGTGTGTGTGTGTTGAATAATTTATATTTAAATTTAGAAAGCAGACATTTTTATGTGTGTTTGAGATCTGGCGTATTGATCTAGCTATTGTGAGTTTATCTCTGGTTAACTTAGCTGTATTAACAATATTATCTGTAATCTACGGACAATAAAATGGATTCGATTTAATGATGTACACTTTTTTTATGAGTACAGTGACATTTCTAAACGGTTTCTCTTTTATTAAAAAAACGGTAAAACTTCAGATCACTTCCAGAGTTTGATTGTTACAGACTGCCCATAGCCGTCGCCAAGTCTGATATTGATAAACCAGACAGAAGACAACCATTCAACAGCTCCTACATCCAGCTCTTGGACTACTCTACCCATAACCGTCACCAAGTCTGATATTGATAAACCAGACAGAAGACAGCCATTCAACAGCTCCTACATCCAGCTCTTGGACTACTCTACCCATAACCGTCACCAAGTCTGATATTGATAAACCAGACAGAAGACAGCCATTCAACATCTCCTACATCCAGCTCTTAGACTACTCTACCCATAACCGTCACCAAGTCTGATATTGATAAACCAGACAGAAGACAGCCATTACATAAACCACGTATCGTCTAAACAACGTAGCTACATGCTGTGACAAATCACTGTCGTCTAAACAACGTAACTACATGCTATGATTAATCACTGTCGTCTAAACAGTGTAACTACATGCTGTGACTAATCACTGTCGACTGAACAATGTAACTACATGCTATGATTAATCACTGTCGTCTAATCAATGTAACTACATTCTATGACTAATCACTGTCGTCTGAACAACGTAACTACATGCTAGGATTAATCACTGTCGTCTGATCAACGTAACTACATGCTATGACTAATCACTGTCGTCTAATCAACGTAACTACATGCTATGACTAATCACTGTCGTCTAATCAACGAAACTACATGCTATGACTAATCACTCGTCTAATCAATGAAACTACATGCTGTGACTAATCACTGACGTCTAATTAATGTAGCTACATGCTATGACTAATCACTGTCGTCTAATCAATGAAACTACATGCTGTGACTAATCACTGACGTCTAATTAAT